GGGGGGGGGGGGCGCGCACGTCTGAACCGAAGGCTGTCTGGGAGCCTGTGTGGTCACCCAGGCCTTCCCCGCGGCAACACAAAATGCCTTCGCTGCAGCCTGTTTTCTGTTTCCTCACTTTGAAATACACCAGGTGAGTCACCCTTTTCTCCCAGGTATGTGGGGCCATTTATTCCTCTCTCCCCCTTTCTCTTCAAAGGCGAGGCTCCGTCCAGCTTGGCAACTGCATCAGTGAACCATTTACTGAACAGCTGCTCCGGCTGGGCGCTGAGCTGTGCCTGGGGGTAGGCAGATGAATGGCACGGAGCCCTGCCCTCGAGGGGCCCAGAGTCTGCCTAGGGAGACACGTGAGTAATGCCATGTCACAGTACTCAGAGGTATCGGAGAAATTACGGCGCTCAGCTGAAGGTGTGCGCCATCGGTCCTTCAGGAAGGCCACAGGGAGCTATGAGAACTGGGGTCGTGGACGAGTAAACTTCTCAGGTGGGGGGTGGGCAGCTCAGGTTCCAGGCGGCTGGGACATGGTAGGGACGGAGGGATGGAAGGGCCGTAGTGGGTGGGGCAAGGGGGCTGGCCGCTGGCTGGAAAGCTGGTGTTTTTGGAGGAGAGAATGGGGGGGAGTCTGGAAAGGGTTGCTGGGGCTTGGCTGCATAGCCTCGAGTGCGACCCTGCCCCTGCCACTCCCTTCTGACCACGAGAACTGCAGGGCGAACTGAGCTGTGAGCACTGGAAAGGGATCTGCTATTGCCCTAGATTGTCCTCCTTCCCCACATGTGGCCAAACACCTGTCCCTAGGACACACCCGAAGATGTAGGACTATCAAACGTTAATGACTGGTAATGTAATTACTTTTATGATTGAATTGTAGGTGTTCTTTACATATTCTGAACGTAAGTCCCTGATCAGACAAATAATTCACAAATATTTTCTCCCATTCTGTGGGCTGTCTTCTACTTTCTTGATAGTGTTCTTTGAAGCACAAGTTTTAAATTCTGATGCAGATCAATTTATCTATTGATGGCGACAATTTAAAATACTCATAGATTTTCAAAAAATATAGCATGAGCCGATTTCTTTTTTCTACTGTGTTCTTTTTTATTTTTAAAAATGAGACATAATTGACATATAACATTGTATTAATTTTAGGTGTACAAGAGCCAATTTCATTAAGTAGGTCAAACTGTTCTAAATCTGGCCAGCAAAAAAATGAAAGATGTCAATTGCTGAAGTTTTAAAATAACGCGTTTCATACAGTTTTAACTTCACAATATGTGTGTTTTTGGGTAATCAGTGCACAGATTTGTACCAAATGGGCAGTAAGATATTTCAGGTATGAGATCTGAATTTGTTAACTGGCTCAAATATATAGTCTAGGTTTTCACTTATTATGTTCTGGAACTTTTTTCTTTTTTTTTCCCTCAAGCCACTTAAGCATCTAGCGCCCAATATATTATCATTAGACTTTACTACTTAAGTCAGATATAGTAGCTTCTAAAAATTATGAAGCTTCACACCAAAGTGCCGATCTATTAAAAAGCTCATTTAAAAAAATGTTATCTCATTTACTCTCCTAAAGAGAAGTAACCAGTTCTCGTTAAAATTAATATAATTAACACAGGCAGAGGCAAGCAGGGGGAGGAAGACTGGTTTATGTTTAGATAAAATCCTATTTTAAACCTAAGGAAGAATCAGAATTAGGTCTCATCCCTCTGAGCATAGGGCTTGGCCAGGAGTGAGTGCCCAGTAAATGTCTGCGAATGAATGATTGAAGGAGGCCCACTAATTAATCCTTCAGCTATTAATGGCCTAATGTAGTGAACACACACCACTGCAGGACTATCATCTTTCTCTTAATTAAAGGCAGCAGTGGGATCACAACCACACCCCGTTTTTATAACTTTCCCATTAGAGTCGATCCTCAATAGCCCCAATTTAATTGTTTCATTTCGGAAGAATTCTTGACTCCTATAAACATGAGGAATTATTCAGAAGAGTAACTCAGAACTGAAAATCATTATAATTTTTGTGGGTTATCCTCAAAAAAAGTTCTAGAGAGGCTCAGCCTTCTTGCTTTACTTGAGGTTGTTTCGGAAGATGCTCTCTGCAGGCCCTGAGCACTG